TATTATATTTGAATCGTGTTTGTGTCATTGTGTGTGTATTAAATTAAAATCTCAAACACATTCTAATTAACCCTGTACATAATGTAGCATCATCCAATCATTTTAATAACCCACTGGATTGGGTAATTAAGTATATAAAAAATTAGTAACGTAATATGGTGATTTGGCTTGATTACGTTTTTTTTTTATTCGTTATTGATATTTTATTTTAAGAATTGTAATGATGATATTACATTAGGGCTTTATTAATCTCATGTGACATAAGAGAAGCTCTCTTATGTCATAGAGATAGTTATGAGTGAGACCCACTCACTTAAAGAAAAAGAAAAAAAGAAAAAACAACAACACGGAAGTCGATGTATGTGTAGGAGAGAAAAAATACTCTCCTACAACAAAAGATAATATTTTCCCATTACATTATTAGATGCCCACCATTAAAAAAAAATTCTTCAAATTTTAGGGAGGGGGCGGCCGCCCACCCTAGCACCCCCCTCCCTCTGCCCTTGCCACCAAGAGAGAGAAAAAATAAAATAGTAGCTCAATTATCAATGTGACTATGTAAGTGTAGGAAGATATTTCTCTCTTAGACAACTTGAGAGAAATATTACCCATAAATTATGAAAAAAAGGTTTTATCCCTTTAAATGAGACAAATTATATTATTTTGGTTTTTAACATTATATAATACATGTAGTATATAGTTATAATATGAAAAATTACTTTTTTTCTCTGTTCAATCATATAGTTATAATACATGACGTTGAAAGAAAAAAAGTAATTTTTCATATTATAATTATCTACTACCCGTAGTACATAGTATTAAAAATTAAAATGATATAACTCGTTAACCTATAAATTATTTAAATACCACATTATGAAAATCATCCTTTTATATTTTATTTAATATGATCATTTCATGTAGTGACGGAGCTAGCCAAATGACTAAGTTAAGGTCAAAAAAATTCAGCTAGTGCCAAAAACTAAATTTTTGAAACGTGGCATGTAACATCCCGAGCGCTGACGAGGGCGGGGAGTGATCGCCGGTGCGAAAAGGGCATGGATAAGGAGCGACTCCTGGCAGGCTTCCGGCGACGGGGATACACGAATGAATCGAATCAACACCCGAAAGAGAGGGATTCCAGAGACTGTGCTGGTATGGGACGATACAGTTGGGAATAGCTTATAAGAATTAATTGGTACTACCTATACTAATAGTATGCATCTATTTTTCGGTAGCTCGGAACAGAAGAACTCCATAGTTAAGCGTGCTTGACTTGGGGCTATTCTGGGATGGGTGACCTCTTGGGAAGTTTTACTGGGAAGTATGCGAGTGAGGAAAAAGCACACTGAAAAGTCTCGTGTTAGTATGTGTTTGGTACTCTTTATGATTATTGCATTTGTGATCACTGAGTGTGAGCCCGATCAACTCATTTCTTTGTGTAACATGTGTAGTGTCATGACGAGGGCATGAAGTGATCGTCGGTTCAAAAACGGCATGGACAAGGAGCGGCTCCTGGCAGGCTTCCAGCGACGGGGGTACATGAATGAATCGAATAAACACCCGAAAGAAAGGGATTCCAGAGACTGTGCTGGTATGAGACGGTACAGTTGGAAATAGCTTATAAGAGTTAATTGGCTCCACCTATACTAACAAGATGCATCTACTTTTCGGCTTCTCAGAACAGAAGAACTTCATAGTTAAGCGTGCTTGACTTGGGGCAATTCCTGGATGGGTGACCTCCTGGGAAGTTTTCCCGGGAAGTGTGCGAGTGAGGACACAACACACTGAAAAGTCTCGTGTTAGTGTGTGGGGACAGTCGTTAATCCTTGCAAGTTGCCAGGCGTTACATGGCAAGTTACGGTTGTTTAGCTACGTTTAAACTGTGACTAAATTTTAAAAATCAGCCATGGCCAAGGCACTGACCGGAGCCAACATGGATACACCACTAATGTCATGTAGGAGAATCCTAATCAAAAGTAAATCAACGATAATATTTTTCTAATTGCCTATTCAAATATTTTTATTCTCTTTTTTCTTATCACTATTAATCCACCTTTGTATAGTTATGATTCTCCTACATAACATGATCATGTTAAATAATAAGAGGATTCACTCTCTCATATTTTAGATTTTTTTGTTGTCAAATTGCCATATTTCATATCCAACATTAGTTTTAGCAAGTTTAGTTTATCATGTATCGCGTGGATAAAGACATGTTATTAGAAACAACATGTCGGTGGTTTCCTACCCATGTGACACGTGGCAGACAATAATCCAACTGTATAAAAAAAGTACCAGTGCTACTGCTGCACTTAGAGCCGGCAAAACGGGCTCGGCTCGGCGGGTCAACTCGCCCAACCCGCCAAACGGGGCGGGGCGGGCTAAGTTTTTCAACCCATCTCAAAAGCGGGGCGGGCTCATTTTTTGGCGGGTTGACAGCGGGCATTGGCGGGCCGAGGCGGGTCAGTGTAAAATAGGCTCGGGCTGGCGGGTCAACCCGCCCAACCCTCCAAACGAGGCGGGGCGGGACGGGACTGGCCGCCCACTTTGCCCCGCCCACTTTGCCACCTCTTGCACTATACAGTGGTAAAAAAAAGAAAAAAAAAGATTTAAATGAAATAAAGATAAAAGTAAGTATTTAAATGGAAAGAATTCTTTTTTTTTTGAAAAAAAATGTGCTCTCTTAAATACGTCTGATATACTGAATTTTTTTTCCGTAAGGACCTACTTTCATAAGTGATTGGTCTTTGACCTGCTTTTTTTGATAGAGAATTTCTGCTGATGCGACACGTGCCAAACTAGATACATTAAGACTAACCGTGGGTCTTAAAATATAACATTTTAATAATTCTTTTTTAAATGTGACATTTGAATAATTATTTATTTAAAAAAACCTGTCAATTTGGTTTTTGTCGCGACATTTTGATCATTGTTATTATTTTATGGGTTCGTTTAATGTAGATAAATTATTTATTTTTAGTTCAAAATAATATCATTTTGTAGTTATAATTTATTTCAGAATTATAATAATCTTTCTTATTATAATTTTTTAATCTTTCAATTCAAAACAACGTCGTTTTAAAAATAAATGTAGATAATTTATTTATATTTATCGCAAGAAACATTAAAACTTTATTTTATTGATAAAAAAACACACAAAAAGGAGTTCCTCCCTCCACTAAAGTTAACATTACGATTATGGGTTTATCCATGATTTAGGCGTCCCCTTAGAGGACTAGCTCCCCTCCATTGCATCACTCTCATTGAGTGAACGAAGCCTGGCATGATTTTTAATTAACATCACATCATATTCACACACATATATGTAGTGGGGAGAACAACATATTTGCTATTCACCTCATGCATGCGCTTTGTGCCTTTGCAATAATGTGGCAAAGCAGGCCAAATAGGGCCTTTGCTGGCCCTCTAAGCTAAGGTAACCCCATGCCTCTACTACTTTCGGTTTTCCACGTAGCGGGTAAGCAAAGCATAAACCACCTCACTAATATATAATAGGCCTCCACCTCATAAGCAATTGATGAAAAGTTCACAAAATTTATATTTTACTACTAGCACGTTATTGAGACCACGAGGAGAATTTTGAGTTTGAGATGTACCAATACCCAATGCATCACAAGCTATGCATAGATAGAGTCAGGGTTTTGGTTTATGTGAATGAGTAATGTTTTAAGGGAGGGCTTGGTTAAGGAAATTTTTTTGGAATAGTAGAAAAATGTAATAGATAGAGAAATGATTGGAAAGATAGATAAAGTGAGATAGGTAGAAAAATGTAAAAAAAAGTTGTTTGGTGGAAAAAAATTTTACTGAGAAAATTAGGTAACTTTATGAAATCAACAGTGCATTAAAAGCCAGATGACCGGTTTTCCGAAAAATCCCACCTTCAAATTGGGTTTCTAAACAGTGCGGATATCTATGTTTCTCATAAATCCAGACAAATTGGATAGATGGGTTTTTGGTGAAAATACGTTGAAACAAACATGGTGTTTCTAAAAGCCATACTTCAGAAACATAGATATCCATTGGAAAGCTCCCAACCAAACACCACCTAACTGTGCAAGGATGGTTGATTAATTATTGAATGATTTTATCCCCTAGTCCCTAGTTAGTTACTCGTATTGTATGTAATGGAGTAACGCACTCAAATACATAGATAGACCAATAACCCCGTCCCTACTTACTCAAGGATATGCATCATTCTTAGAGCCACGTCAAGACAACTCAAATATCAAAATAATAATCTGTAAGGTCATGACAAGAGGCTATATGACATTTTTGCCCTAGCTGCTTCCAACCAATACACTTCTTTTACTGGTAGTGCAACCATTTAATTTTTAAACGATCCAAGGCCAACAAGGAGAAAGATCAAGGAAGAAAACATTACCAACTCAATTAGAAAAATGTTAATGAAGTTGTGTACAGTAGAGATGACATAAATGTAAAGGCTAGTTGTTAAATTGGAATCCAAGAGTAGAGTTGTTACATCTGTTACACCATCAGAATCACAAGTAGTGATTCATGGTGACTATTTCAAATTACAGAATGAAGTATAAATGTATGATTCATTGATAAGTTGAATAAGAAAATTCAATTGGAGTTCTCTTTCTTTACTAGAAACACACATCCAACAGGGCATTAATAGCCAACTTATTTGGTATTTACTGAAGCCAGATCAAAGGCTTTTTGATTTGAACATTATTAACATTTAACCTAGGGTAGTTTGGGAATTACAAATATTTAAATGTTGGGGTTGGGGTCTGTTGAAAGCAAAACCCATAATTCTGTTTCCCATTCATTAGCCTTATTTTCCCAACACAAAAATTCAGGTCCAAGGAAAAGCCACTTAGTCAGGACCTTAACATTATAAAAGCCAGTGCAAACCCACACACAAGTTTTCATCCCACAACCTACTTCTACTTCTTCTCTTCTGCTTCTTCCAAGTGATTTTACACAAAGTCAAGGAAACGGAAACAAAAACAAACATGAATCCCATTGGTTTGTCCCTCCTCTTCCTCCTTTCTCTGGCACTTGTCTCGATTGTTATAGGCCAAGAAAGAGCACCCCATGGGCTTGTATACGAGAATCCTGAAGCTTTTCCACCATCAGCATATAACTTTTTTCATCCCAATGTAAGAAAGCCCGAAACCACCAAAGACCCATGTACTATATCCAAATGTTCACCCTTTCCTTTAGCAGCTCAAGTGGAAGCTACTCAAGTTCATCACAACAAAGCCTCCACATCCGAGAGAAGTAGAAAAAAATTGGGAGCTGGTGGTGTAGCGGGCATTGTCTTTGGTGTTGCTTTTGTTGTGCTTTTAGCTATGAGTGTGTACCACACAAGGGTCACTAGAAAAGCCAACATGAGTAGAGCCAAATCCAATAATATTGTTCAACCAGACGCTTGATGTGTTTTGCCTTCTACAGCTTAGACTTAGAATATGACATATAATCTCTATGCTCCTCCACTTTTATTCCTCTAATATCTCACTTTATAATGTGTTACCATTAGTTCCTTGCCTTTGTCTTCTTCTTTAATTTGTTTATGGTTAGCCAATGTATCTAAAGTTATGGTAATGGTCAATTTCTAATGGGAAATAGAAGTATTATGTTGTAGAAAAATGACTATATCATACTATAGACATAATTAAAGTGGACTCCACCACTTTCTTTTCTTTTCTTTTTATCTTAAAATGATAGATTCCACGTTAGTTGTGTCTATTGCATGACATAGTCATTTTTCTACGACATAATACTTCTATTTCCCATTTCTAATTTGGATCTTGTCTAACTATCATCAAATGTCATGCGTTTACAATTTCTTAATAGCTACTTAGATTATTCGAAGAGTAGCAGCAGCAGCAGATATAACAGCAACAAATGATACGAGTAATGCAGGGGAAATTGCATTGTCCTAATTAAAGAGTAAAAAATCCTCTGCTCTGTGTCATGTGTCACAGCCGTTTAAAATTCAAAATGCAGAAGGTGAGAATAAGATCAATTGCTAAGGTATAGCATGCTTATATATCGTTTGCAATATTAAACGACGAACCTGAAGGGCTCTCGCTTCGCTATAAATGTAGATTAAGTAAAGGGCATATAGTTTCTCATTTCGTGTGAAATAAATTATCTCGTATAACACATACAAAAATCAATAAGATCCACTTGTTTTATTTTTTCTTGGTAGGTCCCTTCCACTTTTTTTGTTTGTTGTATGAGACAATTTATCTCATCCAACATGAGAAACTATACATCCTTAAATAAATAAGGTTGGAAATTTGAATTTCCCTTAAGTGAGTTTGTTTATAAAATGAACAAATAGTTGGAAATCGACAATGGTGATTTACGTTGCTTCATCAATGTAGGTTACATTTAGCTTATCTACCGTCACTCGTTATAAGTCACTCGATTTACAGGAAAAATATAATTAGGATTAGAAAACCCTAACAGCAACTCAAGCCCAAACAATTAAGAAAAATAAAATTACAATTAGTCGAAGACCTATAATAGTACCAGACCTATAAAATTAAAATTACGTTCCCCCGGACCCGCCGCATGCTCATCTGGGAGCGGGATCCCAGTCATATTTCTGCTGACTTGACAATAAAAATTCTTCATCAGCATAAGAAGTATGAGTCGTATCCCGACACTAAAAGGATATTTATCTTCGTTTAATTTGAGATGTATCGTAATTTTAACAGACAAAAATTCAATTATAAATATACTTTTACTTACATATTTTAAATAAAATTTCAATTTGAATTTTTTTATATAAAACATTCCTGCCATTATTCACGCGAGATAGAAATTTTAGCGTGAGGCTGCTTGATGACGTCTATCATTAAGTTGGTATGTCTACAAATTGTCTACAAATGGTATGTCTACATTCACGCGTCCATATGGCTGAGAGAGTTTATCAAATGTCCGAACGCTTCACACAGAGTTTGGTTGTTCATGTCAAAATTGTGCAAATTGTGGACACGTCATTTCTTTCCAAAACTGGGTAACTGACCAAAATGTCACTCTTCACCAATTTTTTTATCTAAATGTCACGCGAACCGTGTTATTTTTCAATCTGCCACGGGATAAGTTCACTACCCGGTGTAACGAACTCGGTTTGCTGACGTGTCACATTTTTAGTGGATAACAAGTATCAAATTTTAAAAAATAAAAAATAAAAAAAATGAAGTTCGCCTACCATGTAGGCGAACTTGGTTAAAATCAAGTTGGTGTCTACTAGAAACGTGACACGTCAGCAAACCGAGTTCTCTACACCGGGTAGCGAACTTGACCCCGTGACAAATTGGAAAATAACACTGTTCACATGACATTTAAGTAAAAAAATTGATAAATAGTAACATTTTAGTCACTGTTCTCCAAAACTGTGTGTAGTAGAGAATCAAGGCATCCAAGGCCTGTTTTGGTCCAATACGGCAATGAAATGAAAGACGAAGGTCATGGACAATGACATTACGAACCGAATATAAATAAAAATAAAAAGAAAATGCAAAAGGGTAAATGGGTTGAATGTCCAGACGTCGTCATGGCGTAAAATTTTCTATGGACTTATTTATTGGATGGACTCTTAAAAAACAAGCCCGTCTCTCAGGCTCAAGCTTAGCCCAAGAAAAGGTTTTATTATTTGTCAGCCCATCTTTTTTTTATTGGTGTCTTAGGTTAGTGTCAAATGTCAATGGTCAATCTGTTCTTCTTCTTTTTTTAAAAAAAAGAAAAATTTAATTTCAAGTGAATGTTAAAATGTCATAACTCTTTTATTTGAATATGTTGAGTTATGGGCAGGTGCGAGGGACGAGAATGAAAAGAATAATTTTAATGAGAAGTATAACATGAGGCTATGATGCACAGACACTTCAAAAATTTTAACATGTTGTGTCTGAAATTATGATACTTCCCGACACTCTAACACGTATTGTAGAGACTTAAAAAAGGGTTCAATATTTACGTTGTATTGCGCTTTTAGTTCCAACTATTAGATTCGTAGGATTACGATTACCATTTTATTGAGTTTAATATAAATATTTGGGATATCTCGTGTTTATTTGCAAAATTGATGGGTATTATAAGTTTACCTTCATTTTTTGTTAAATTATTGAATATTGAATATAATATACATTACATAAATTAAAAATATTATTTAATATCAAAACGTGTCATAACGCGTCAAAAATCTAATCTTTTTTTTTTTTTTTTTGTAAATAATCTTTTTTAGAATTAACTTATCGGAGTATCGTGTCGTATCGTATCTCGTATCAATATCAGTATAACACAGACATGAGGACTATATCATGTTATTTTCATTTATTTTTATTACTCCCTTCTATTAATCTTTTAAGTTTAGTTTTGGAGAAAAATAAGCCATTAAGATTGGCCTAATGATCAAAGAATTAAATAGTCTGCATAAGATCATAATTTAATACTATTATTGTATTAATAAAAATAAAAATTGATCCATTATAACCACAAACTAATAAAGTATCGTTATATTTTTTAGCTCTACTCTCATATTATAATGGAGTGGGTAAGGAATAATACAAGAAGGAAAAATGGAGCAATTTCAGCCAAGAAAGAAAGAAAAAGAGGAGCAATTAATTACTAAAATAGCACTTAAAAAATGCACCAGGGAGAATTTAAAAAGAAAATAAAATTTATTTTTGGAGTATTACAGCAAAAAAGGTTTCCGCATGTGACTTCCCTGCCAATGTCTTCTTCTCATGTATGTGACCTTTCTCTTCTGCTAAAAAATTTCACTCACGGTCCCCACAAACACCTCCAGTCAGCATCATTCAGCAGACGACTCCGTTGAAACCAAAAGTGCCATGGTCCTTTTTTAACAGGGAAAAACTATTCTTATATCACATTATATAAGTTTTTTCTCCTACACACCATTTTTTTTTTTTTTTTTTTTTTTTTCAGGTGGTGGAGCTCACTAGTTTGTCTCTATGACATAAGATAACTATCTCATTTAACATGAGATTAATAAAACTATTTTTTTTATTAGGATCAAGGATGTTTCGGATGTTTCTATTGTGTCTGCATCCTTTTACCTCGATCACTTCTTCTTACCCTTTTACACTGATATATTTTTAAGAACAAACTCTTTAGCATGCACACGTCTTCCCATATTGTTATTTGACACACCAACTCTTGATTCTCAATTTATAAACTGAAAGAAATGCAGAATAAAAAAAAAACAGATTATAATCATCAATGTAAGTAGCTGAAACTTTAAACACATTTCCACCCTAAGTTCTGTCAAACGTATATATTTTATTTTAAACATTGTGGGGGTATCTTGTTTTTTTCAGATAACAAAGCTCTGAAGTTGCATTTTCTTTTGTTTTATTTAAATTAGTATACGTTTTTACTATTTACGGTATACCCTAATAAATAAGGTCTATTCCTCCAAGTGCACTTTCCAAGGACACGTGAAACAAGATAGAATTTCAAACATCCCAGTTCTCAACTAGTCACGACTCACGATGGATGTAATGATTTGGCTGAAAGAATCATCTCCATAGTGAAATATCGAATCAAATTATTGGCCTTATAGTCTATCTTAGTATAGAGGACGATAACAAAGATTTGTGAATGGGATTGTTTCCACCATTTGTAATGGCTGCTATCTTATGGCTTTTCTATTCCATTGTAAGCAATATATATATATATAGAGAGGTAGGATCATTTGATATCAGTGTCAAATTTGAACTTTGACACCTCATGTGAGAGCCATTAGATCAAAAAAGATCAATGGTGTCATTTGCTTACAAATCAGAGCCATTGATTTTTTTTATCTAATGGCTCTCATATGAGGTGTCAAATTTGACACCTCATTAGAGAGCCATTAGATCAAAAAAATCAATGGTGTCAAATGCTTATAAATCAGAGTCGTTGATCTTTTCTGTTCTAATGGCTCTCAGATGAGGTGTCAAATTTCAAATTTGACACTGGTGTCAAATGATCCTGCCTCATATATATGTATATATATATATGGAAAAATGATTTCTGCAGCTGCTGTATCTACAGCAAGCAAGGATCCGCGTCCGGATCCTAGGATACGACATCGGATCCTGAGTTTTTTTTTTTAAAAGCTGTGGGACCCACTTTTTTGTGTCAGCCGTAGATAACACTATCTACGGCAGCTGCAGAAATGTTAAGCCCTATATATATATATATATATATATATATATATATATATATATATGAAGTAGATCCTTTGACATCGGTGTCAAATTTAAAGTCTAACACCTCGTCTGAGAGTCGTTAGATCAAAAAAGATCAACAGTGTCACATGCTTACAAATCAGAGTCGTTGATCTTTTTTGATC